AGCCACTCATGGTGTTGGTTATGTCCACATACACAAGAATAATATTAGCCCCTCTTATGGCGAAACCCTGCCTAAACATGCAACAATGCCAACATAACAAAGCAATAACAATGCATTATATTAACAAGCTAAATCTCAGGTCAGAACATAATTTCTCAAATCACATATTCAGTTCAATAAATAAATAATACTCAAGTAACCATTTAGCCACACTTGCATCATTTTCCAAAAACTTACAAATATCAATTTAATCTATAAAAACATATATTCAATTCATAATAACCATTAATAAAATTAAACAAGCATTTAGACAAGATAGAATCCCCTAATTACCTAAAATCTTTGAGAATTCAACCCCTATATCAATGGCTTCCAGAGCTAGAATTAATCCCAAACAACATGCCATAAAGTTAATATATAATTCACGACAATAATCATCACTAACGGTCAACTATATATACCATCTCCAACTCCTAGACACATACTTTAAGTGCCAAAATTCTAAACCACACGTGCAAAATCAAATCGAATGAGTTTATTAGCTCCTACTAATTTCATTAAGCTCCCAGCAACTTAAACAATAATAATTATAATACCTTACAACCAATTTCTTCATCAAAGGGCTTAGGGTTTGTCTAACTCAAAGAAATTCAGATCCAATGACCAAGTAGAATAGCCATTGTTTTATAAGCAAAAACTAACTTCCAATAAGTCCATCTCACTCATTTAAGTTAGCCAAAACTAGCAAAATCCTAGAAATCAACCTGAGGATTGGATTCAAGGAGAAAACTAGGAAACCTAACTTTAAAATGGAGCTAGAAGAGAAGATGTAAGATTTGGGAACTTACCTCAAGTTATCCCTTACTTTAAGACACCCCAAAATGCCAAAAAAGTATTGCCCTGGTGGAAATCTATCAACTTCATTGACCCTTCTCTCTTTTCTCTACGTTTTTTGCATTTTTCTGTCACTTAAAACGCGTTTTTGAAGTCTGCCCATAGTTGTACAAGTAAGCTCGTTGTCGAACAAAAAATATGAATTCTGCTAATTTTTCTCTATCCATTCATGATCGTACATGTTTGCCCGTGGTCAAACAAAAAATTATGGATTCTACTCTAATTCAAGCCTAAGTAGTCTAATACATTTTCGGGCTTGATCTTAAGGTTGAATTCGAACCCAAACAAACCTGTTAGTCATCTTTAATTATCCTCAAACTAATAAACACTCAAATTTTACCAATTACCTTTTATTAATTAATTGAGTTTGGGAATTGAAATTTGGCATGTTACACGTTAGCTCCAAGGGTTAGCTATTATCCCCACCATTTACTTTCTTAACTCTATATTTATGCTCCCAAGGTCCCTACTATTGTCCCTTCATCTCCATTTTAAAATTCCTCCAACTTGTGATCTACCATTTTAGCTCGCACTAGTGCCAAAAACAATTTTCGCGACAATGAAAATGCTATTTTCACGACATAAAATGAAGCGTGGTAAAAATAAATGTACTAATAGTCATGGCATTTTCACAAAAAATGATGCATTATGGTGACAGCTCCCCTTTGAACTGTTGCCGTGGTGGATTTTAAAAATAAATTTTTTTATATAATAATTAATCTCTAATTTAAAATTTAAATTTTTTTATTTAAATAAAAGTCTAATTTAAAATGATTTACACATAAATGGTAATATCTTGAAGAAATTTATTACCATGCAAAAGCAAAAAAGTGAACCCTATGGACTTTAAAAATGAAAATAACTAGTAATTATCATAATGCTCTCTAGCCTGTTGTGCCGAGGCTTATTGTTAACAGTGAAATAATTGAATGAAACTTGAAGAACAAATCCATTGTAAATTTGAGAGTCGATAATTTATTGATAAAAAATCCATGATGAAAATACTTAATAGAGAATAAGCAAAACTGCTATTAACATGTAGATAATGTATTTATTTCATCACATCCTTTGATATTAGTCATTTTTTAGCATCTGTGATTTGTTTTAATATACTTTTTTATTTTTCATCAAGATATTTGTACATATCTTTTTTGAAAGGCACAAAGAATGAGGATAAATTTGCATTTATCAGTGCTTATTATATTGGTCAACATGAGGGGACATTGAGCTATCTAAGCAGGCAGATCTTATAAAAGAACTGTTAACAAAAAAAGCAGAAGTTGAAAAGGATGTATTATTCTTAACACTTTACGATATAGGGTAATATTATTTATTTCTTCTTTTGTGCTAGATACTTTAAATTTATTAAGATATAATTAAAATTTAAATTTTTTTAGGCAACATTTGATTTAAATTATTATCAATCTTGCGGATACAATGCTGAAATTGTTCAACGAGTAAGTATTTATATTTATTGGTTTATTTTACACATCACACACACACATGCTTGATTCAGTTGTTATTGTTGACCAATTTGTTTTCTATTTTGATAGGGTATTAAACAGTTTTTATAGTCATATTGGGATTCTCTTTTTCTAGAAATAAAGGCTTTACTAAGAGTTATGAGTAGATTAAAATTATAGTATGTTTATATTTATGAGAATTTACTGAATTATTGAAAATACATTTATTGGATTCATAAATTTATATGACTTTTTAATTATTTTTTAGTGCCATTTTTAACATAACAGCAATGATTGTGGGTATTACACAATAAAAGGACGTGCTCACTTATAATCAAACCTACTTTTGTCTCCTTATTGGTATGAAAAATCAAATTCATTTAATTTTATTAGGTTCAATAATTTTTAGTTATTTTTGACACCTTATCTTAATAATTATTTTATAGTACTATGAGGACTCAAAATGTGAGGAATTAGAATACAATGACAAGTCAATTTTTGATTTAATCAAAGATCGGTCATCTTATGTTAGGAGGAAGGGTGCCTGAAGCTTGGTTTAGTTATAAGATTAAAGATGAAATTGAATTATATAAAAGAATTGTATACAAAATAAGGTTAATTGTACATTGTCATTGTTGGTGAAATTGTTGTAGCTTGTTTTTTGGATGTGTGGACTACTTGGTGAACCATGCACATAGATAGACACACAGAGTTGTGAACTTGTTTTTTTGTTTTTTGTTTTTGGTTATAGTAGTATGTTTCGTGTCTTTCTATGCATACTCAAATGACTGGATTAGTATCGTATTACTGGAATTGGACGAAGCAAATCTGGGTATACATAGTTTCATAAAAATATTTTTAAAAAAGTAGTAAAGGTGGCATCTCTAGGTGAAGAAAATGTCACTTTTGTCAATTTTTTTTAAATAAGTGAGATAGAGAAATGTCACCTTAATTAATTAATCTTTTTAAGAAAAATATATAGTAGAGAGACGGCGCGTTAGAAACGCCACCTTTGTTTGTTCTTTAAAAAAAATATAATTTAGATAGGTGACTTTTGCTAGGCTAAATGCACGTGATATTTTATTAATTAATAAAATATCACCTTAGACACTAGATAGTTTTAAAACTTATAATATTTTGTAAATCTCATGAAACTAAAATTTTAAATATTATTAAAAACTTTTTTTTTTTTTTTTAGCAGTGCAAATCTGAAAAAAAAAAGAAATAAAAACTTAAAACTTTGATAAACATCGTCTTATCAAGGCCATTCGTCTCGAGTACAGCGTGGTTAACGAGAGTTTTTTTTTTTTGTTTTAACTATAAAAATGAAATATGCACTATTTTTTATTACATTATAATCACTTGCACGATTCTCTTTAATCAGTTATTTTTAGGACACAGATATTACCTTTCATTAATATTGCTTGCTTTTATATTGATATCTGAACTCTTGATTAATCATTAAGTAGGTAAATAGAATAATGGAAAGAAAATAAAATCATTTAATTACTATTCTTTATTTTATATTAATGGAAGCACGTACTGCAAGAGTTTTTTTAAAAAAAAAAAATTGTAGAGATTACTGTCAAACCTTCATCTCCCCATGTTGGTTGGGTTTCTCTTCCATTATTTACCAATGCAACTTCGTTGACAAATTCTTCCCGACCACAAAATCTTAGGTAATAGAGCGACTCGAGTGATAAACTGATAACTGAGCACCAGTACAACTTCATTCACCAATGCAGCACGAACAAACTCTATATTCGTAGAAATTCCATAGCGTTTGAGAAACTCAGAATTATCAATGAAACAGAAAACAGGGAATTCCAACCATTAACTAAGACACAAGTCCAAAAGAATAACATTAATGAAAACTGCATTTCAAACCGAAACAAAGAAATTTTCGCCTGGCTGCTAGAAAAGTAATTATACAATAGCACAGTCAAGTTATTGTTTTTCGATACAAGTACAGCGAAAATACAATTTAATGGTGGGGGAACTATCATGGAAAGAACTCAACTGTGAGGCACGTGAATGTCGATGACAATTGAAGTAGTTAAGATAAACCTGACAGGCAGCTCATATCCTTGATTGATCTCATATTATATAAATTATACAAGGACGGTGGAGGCTAGAAGAAAAACCCAACAAAATACGTACGTGACTTGTACATAAGACACACACACACACACACACACACACAGACATATATATATATATATATATATAAAACAAGTGTGATTCAATAAGTTACATAATTGGACAGCTGCACATTCCAAAGCTGCAGGAAAATGAATGATTGGGAAAACAAGAGGACTGTGCAGAGCAAGCTGCAAAAATTATTTGACAACAGGCGTAGTAGTTAGATTATAAAGATCTGCAGCACAACATCTTTCTGCTGCCCTGCCATCCTTCTTCTCTCTACCCATACTCACTTCATTGCTCCGTAAACACCCCACCTGCAGGGACCCACTACCTCTGAATCATTTCCCACGCCAAAACTCTCGACCACGTCGTCCTTAACATATCACACTTATAAATACCCTGTATCCTGAACCCTTGCTCCTCAAGCTTCAACCCAACAAACAAACTCTTCTTCTAATAAGCTATCACTTCTAATTAAGCTTCCAGGCCTCTTTCAAAATGGCGAGCACCCAAAATTCCCTCAAGGCTCGCCTGCAAGATGGGGAGGTCCTCTATGGGATCGCCCTCCTAAGCTACTCACCTACCATGGCGGAAATAGCTGCCTTTGCTGGCTATGACTTCGTGCTCATTGACATGGAGCATGGATTCGGGGGTATCGCCGATGCCCTGCCATGCATCCACGCCGTTGCAGCGGCCAACACTCCGGTGATCATCCGCGTCCCGGAGAACACCCACGTGTGGGTCAAGAAAGTGCTTGACCTCGGCCCTCAGGGCATTGTCTTCCCCTTCATCAACGACGCCGACCAGGCTATCAAGGCCGTATCGTACTGCCGTTATCCCACCAAGGGTGTGCGTGGGGTGGCCACTCCCATTGTCAGGGCTTCCAAGTTCGGAATCGACGAGCACTACGCAGAGCACTACGAGAAGGACCTGCTCATCATGTGCCAGGTAGAGACGGAGGAGTCGGTGAACAATGTGGAGAAGATCGCGGCGGTGGATGGGGTGGACGCGGTCATGGTCGGTCCCTATGACCTGAGTGCCAGTGTCGGGTGCATGTCGAACCCAAATGCCCAGAAAGTGCAGGATCTGTTGAGGACCATGGAGAAGACTGTACTGTCCTCCAAGAAAAAAGAGGAGGGAGGCCCATTTTTGGCGGCGTTTGCCATCGGAGCTGATGGGTCCGAGGACTTCCGAAGGCGAGGCTACCGGTGCATTCGTGGGGCCTGTGACGTCGTGTCGTTCAAGAATGCCTGCCTTGCCGATGTGAGGAAGTTTAAGAAGAGCTTGCTCAACTCCACTTGCTGACGTATATTTTACTATATCTGCCTTGGAATTTATTCGTCTGTTGCTATAGGCAGCAAAATAAGTACTGAGGTTCTTGGGCTTCGTAATTTCGTATACGTCAATAACTTGCGACTCATGCCTCGTCTGCAAGCACGTTAAGTCATTTTTGTTCAGTGCATGAGCTCATGGCTGGAAGTTTACTTTAACTTTGTTATCTTGTTACCATTAATTTATTAATTTTTATGCCGGACTATTCTTACGCAACGATTGAACCCAAAAATACTGATGATGCGAGTGACACTTTCAGTTTACTCCTCTTTTTTGGCCAAAAGTTTGATTTGGTTTGAAATGAATATGTGGTACTCTATAATACCGGAGAGAAGAAATACGGTCGCAGCCGCTCGTTGCCTCCTACACGCTTATCAAAATTAAAGCAAGAAGAGTGTTGATATCGTACACCCGGAAAATGACAATTAAATCCCATAAAAACATTAATAACAATTATACAGACCCTAAATTATTAAAATTTTAATAATAAAATATGGTCCTATTGCAACAGATTATCTTAAGTTGATCAGTTTGATATTCACAATAGACTTCTATAAATTACTAGCTAGCTAATGCGGCAAAGATTCTTAAGTATATTTTGTTGATCTCCTGAGTGTAACATCTTAAATTTTAACTCCCAGAGATAATTAAATTAATCAAGGATAATTAGGTAAGATTGAGGATTAGTGGATTTAATGATAGTTAGTGATAGCTAACAGGTATACTTGAAATGGGTACAATGTTTGGATTCAAGTACGGACGTGTTTTAAGCCACCTGAGCCTAAATAGTAGAACATATTTGAAGTGGGCCTCTCTATGCTATTTGTGGTGATGAATTGTTAGAAAGTTTAAAAGACCAGTTCACATTCAAGAATTATAGGGAGAAGGGAGAAAGAAAGAGATAGAGAGAGGGCGATAGGAGAGACATTTGGTTTGCTAGGACAAGCTTCCAAGGCCATCCTAGGGAGATTCAAGCTTCCACACTCAATAAACATCTTCCCTCTCATTCCTCTCCTTTTCCTTGCATTTTAGCTTGGGTTTTCCCCATATATAGGAATGATGATTTCGGACCTTGAGGCTATGGGTTTGAACTTATTATTTCTAATAGGATTAATGAGGTTTAACCTATCTAAACCTAATTTTGAAGATTTTACAAGGTTATAGGTTGGGTCTAGGGTTTTGGATGAACTCTAGCCATTGCACTACTAGAAAAATGTAAATCAGCGAAGAAATTTAGCAAGGGATCATTTATTCCTTTCTAAAATACCAAATTAGCGAGGGATGTTAATTTCATAATTTGACTTAAAATTAGCGAGAAAAACAACGAGAGACTGTCAATCCCTCTTTAAAGTAAGAGAATTAGCGAGAAAAATAACGAAAAACTATGAATTCCTCTCTAAAATAAAAGAATTAGCAAGGGACTCTCAATCCCTCTCTAAAGTAACAAAATAAGCGAAGGACTATCAATTCCTTTTTAAAATAAAATAATTAGCGAGATATTCTATCCCTAACTAATTACTGCAAAAAAATTTAACTTTTGACAATGACTTTTAATTATATATTTAATTATTTTCAGTTAAAAATAAAAATTAACTAAAAAATTTGTAATAAAATTATTTAATATTTTATTTATTTTAAGTTTAATTTCATTAATAAAATAATATTTTATTAAAATATAAAGAATAATTTAAATAAAATATAAATATTTTTAACATATTAATAATTGAAACTAAAATTTTATATGTATATATGTCTGTATTTTTATAATATATTATTTGATATATTTATATAATTAAGTAATATATATTTAATTTGTCATATAATCACTGCATATGCCTTTCAGCTCAACTGGCAAAAAAGGAGAGCATAAGGCTTGTAAAGTATAAGGTTAGAGATTTAAGTCTTGACTTTAGCATAACCATAATGAATATATGATATGATAAATAGCAAGTGACATGACGCAAGGTGGACAATGATAAGTTATGAGTTGTCGCACATATGATAGGTAATAGGCACAAGATGGTAGGTGATGTGGTGGTTGACGAGGCACGGGGTTGTTGGTAACAGGTCACAAGTTGACACACAAGTGGCAAGTAATTAATATGGCATTATTATTTTTAAATATAAACATATTTAGTGAGAGATTTAGTCCCTTACTAATTTTAGCAAGCTATTTTTTAGCTACGCATTTAATGGAGGATGAAATCCCTCACTAAAATGCAATTTAGCGAAGAAAAATAGCATTTAACGAGAGATTTGTCTCTCACTAAATTTTATTTTTCTAGTAGTGTTACTTTAAGTAAGATTTTAGACTTTCAGATTGTACGATAGTTGTTATTTAAGCTAATGGCAATTAACAAATTCATTGAATGTGAGATTAAACTTATACTTGAGAAACTTGGTTAACAAATTGTGATTTAGGAGTTGGAAAGTAGTGCTTATGTGGTTGTTGGTAATGATAGTTATTGTTGATTGTGGATTAACCGGTGTAGCATATTGGTTGAGCTCAATTCTAGCTTGGAAAGCACGTGATATGGCACTAGTGCAAGATTTGTCTTTTACAAGGGATTTTTAACATTAGTTAAAAAACTCGTTGTTGAAACTAGAGGCAGTGGCATTTTTGTAATATTTGTAGCCACTATAAGACTTTAAACATCAGTTTAAAATTTAACCATTGTAGCATAAACTTTTAACATTGAGTGTGATATAACCCAATGTCAAAAGTTTTAAAAATTTAAAATAAAATAAAATTTCTATCTTTCAATAGCGACTAGCATTATCGAAAAAGGACCCAGCAAGCCTATCATCCAATACTCCATGCTGTGTTGCCTTTTCAACCTAAAATTCTTAAGCTATGGTAGCCAATCCTGTGCAGTGATTGGACTTTACTCCTTGCTCCAATGATTAAATGTGCCAACATTGAGTTGGCAAGGAAGGAGGAGAGCGACGCTGAGAGGAAGATGCTTGAGTTTGTGTGTGAGGTGTGATAAGGTCACATATGGTCAGGATTGCAACCATAAATGGACGATGGAGACTTCACCATTAATCAAGACCACATTGTTTAGAAGAACTAGAGGAGAAAAGAAGAGTAAGGAATCGGAGACACCCCATGCTTGTGTTTTATAAGGGTTTTCTCTGTGCTGATGTCCACCTTGTGAAAAACATGACCATCATTACTACAATATTACTCATCATTATTCATTGTGTTAGCAATATGATGTACAGCTTTGTGCCTCTACACTTTTCATTGTAATATAATTGTGTGTGTTAGATTTCTTATATTAAATATACTCAATGATAGTATACTCCATAAAAATATCTTAAATTATTCAGTTAGATGCTTTTTAATATTATATATTTATGATTTATCTTCTAGTCTTTAGATATGGGACTTCTTTTACTTCTAATATTCTCTCAACTACTTTTTTTCTTGTTTTTTTTCATTTTTCTTATTCTTCTTGCCTGGGCTTATACTTTTTTTTTTTTAGTTTGAAAGGCCTCAAGTCTATTCAATTTTCTTTTCTTCTCCTATCTTTCTTCCTTTTTAATCTCTTTTTTTTTATCTTTCATTCTTTCATTTTTCTTTCTTTTGTTTTTGTTTTCATGTCCCCAATTGAATGGCTCATAATGCCACATTAGATTTCATTTTTAGATGTGCTTAAGAATAATATATTCTATCAAAATAGCTTAAACTATTTGGCTAGAGTGTGGTCAATTATTCAAAATTTTGGAAGAACAAAATATGCTAGGAAGACCTATAATAATGACTTCCATATGGTTTAATTTGTTTTATTTGCCTCTTGATGATGGGAGAATACAAATTTCTGCAAAAGAATTCGACAAGAACTTTAGAGTTGGTCAATGCCTTCGCATATTGTGATAAATGCATCTCATTTATGAAATAAAAAACAAGTGGTGTGCTTGAACCACTACAAAAAAATTTACTTTTAACAGCGATAAAAAGTTGCCACAATGTCACCGTAAGAGCTTCTGTCATTGATTATTTTATCTCTGATGACAATGAAAGTTATAGTTGAAAGCATATAATTAGCAATGACAAATGCATCACGAAAAGGAAATTTTGTTTCGGTGAAAAGATAGTCATTGTTGAAAGTTGAAAATTGGCACGACAAATGTTACCATAGAAATCACAAATTGTCATTATAGAAACTACCGATCAGCAATACTGAAAAGTGATACTAGTATACTTTACCACGTGGTGCAATGTCACCGTCCTACATGGAGCCACATCGCCTACTTTGTGTCATTGTGTTATCAATTTATATTGTCATTTGATAAATTTTCTCCTCTACGGTTTGAACTCATGATCTCCTTCATTTATGTCTCACCATTTTGCCACTGAGCTAAAATGAACTTGCAATTTATTATTGCATAATTAAATATATATATATATATATATATAATTAAACTAAACAAACATGCATGTGAAATATAAAATATTATAAAATATTATTATTATCATTAAATACTTCAATTTAATTCTTTTAATTTATTAAAATTTTGAATTATATTATTTATTTTGTCTAGAATAAACTATAAATATAACTGATATAATATCGTTTATATTATTTATTTTAATTTTTTTGTATTTCTCGAGGTTATTGTATTATTTATTTTAATGTTCATATCTATAGTTATAATACCAAAATATCTAAAAATAAATAATAATATAGATGATTATACATTAGATCATAATTATTTATTTTTTCTGGCTCCTTTTAATTAAAATTTTATTTTTACTTTTAATTAACAATAACTCTTGAGCACTATAATTGAATTGTTTTTACATTACATGCATTTTACGTTTTTAATTAGTTTTTATTTTTAAATGATAATTTTATAAGACAACCATACACTATATTATCTATTTTTTATATTTACGTTTCAAGATAGCATCACACCAAAATAAAAAAATTATATAACATACGTACATAGATATATTTCATATGTTC